TGGATCCTGTCATTCTTGTCCTTTCTGTGTCACTGGGAGGGAAGGGAATGCCTTAGTCTCAGCATGGCTTTTGAAACCCTCTCTTGCATGTTCAGTCTTCCAGCAGCCCCTCTGACCTGCCCTGTTCCTCTCCTGCCTCTCCCTTCTCTACTCCAGCCACACTGACCTCTGTGCTATTCTGTAGACACACGCAGGGTGCTTCTGTTTCAGGCTTGCCACTTACCTCCCCTGAGCCTAGTATGGGCTTTCCCAGTGCTGCTAGCTTCCCCTTCACACTCTTGGAAAAGAGCTGCCATTGCCCCTCTCCCCACATAAACTCCCTGCACCTAAACTACTTTTACACCACCACCACCACCCCCAGCTTGTGGACACTTGCTTGTTACTTTGTTATTTAACAGTAAGTTGCTTGTTAATTGGTCATCCCCACTTTTTCCCACTAGGATACCCCTAACTAGAGGAGGGCAGAAGCCTGCTTTTGCTCTCTGCTGCATCTTCTGGGACTGCAGCAGCACTGTAGTAGCAATGGAGTAGTGTCCAGCAATTTTTCTGATGTTTCTGTAATGGGAAAACAGAATAGAGACCACTTAAGGAGTGGTCAGTACTACTTAAAAAAGCTTTCTTCTGCCAGTTTTGGGATAAAATTGAGGTGATTTCAACTTTTAAATGTAGTTGGTGATTAATTATTTCAGGTATTGCCAACCAAGCCAAGACTGGGGGCATTTCCTTGTGAGCCCACTGTGGTCTGTGGCAGAAACGGTGTAGCCTTGTTTGTTGGGAGAAGGGCCTCTGAAGAGCCATGAAGCCTTTAGATTTTGCTGTCAGTTGATGTCTCCTGTTTCTTGTTAATCTGCATCAGTATTGACTTGGGGTAGCTTTTGTGGTCCTCTAGGAAAGATACCAGCAAGAACAGATTCCATGGCTGGGCTCAGTGGTTCATGCCTGTAACCCTAGCTACTCAGGAGGCAGAAATTAGGAGGATCGAGGATCGAGGCCAGCCCAGGCAAAAAGTCTGAAAGACCCTATCTCAACCAATTAAAAAAAGCTGGACATGATGGTGTACCTCTGTCACCCAGCTATGCAGGATCATGGATAGAATCACAGTCCAAGGCCGCTGGGCATAAAAGCAGACCTAGTCAAAAAGTAACAAAAGCAGAAAGGACTGGGGGTGAGGCTCAAGTGGCAGAGCACTGCTTAGCAGGCTCCAGGTCCTGAGTTCAACCCCCTCAGTACCACCAAAAAAAAAAAAAAAGATTAGATTCCACACTGTTCTGGACAGAGCAACAAATGGCCTGGTAATGAATAGAATATACATTCATTTTGAGCTAAAGTTTTAAAAAGTCCCTCAGTTACTTACAACTTTATGAGACCTACTTTTACAGAATTTCCATTTGTGAGCTTACATGTAAGATCTTCCTGACCACTGTTTGCACACCCAGGAGAGAGTACGTGCGTCTGACCCCTGCAGTGCCTTCACACCAGTGAATCCAGCCTCTGATTGGCAGAGGTGTCCACTCCACAAAGGGACCTGTGTTTAGATAGTAACATCAGTTGACCGCACTCTAAATGACCCAAGTCACAGTTGCTGCGACTTGGACTACTAACCCACAGTGGAAGTTAGCATGGACCCCCAGTCTGTTCTATGAACTGGGCTGAAGTGTGCTCGGGCCAGAATGGTTAGGTAGTGAACTTTTCCTACTTCTCAGGAAAAATAGGGTGAGAGAGAGGATTTCCTCTAAGGAAAGTATCTGTGCCATAATTTTTCTAAAAATTTTGGCATCTGTTCTTTGCCTGCCGGACAATCAAATGAATGAAGAAAGAATTCAGAGCAATAGTTCTCACATGGGAGCTTGCAGTTCTGATTGTTGGGCCTTGTCCCTGGGTTCTCTGCTTGCCACCTCCTGAGTGATAATCTTGGTTGGCACTCAAGGATTCTCCACAGAGGTGGCTTGCTCCTACCATGTCTCTTCCTTGTCTGAGTCATGCCTCTCTTCTGTTCCATGTAGTTAGACTTCATGTCGTCACTGAGGAAAATTGGGACTTCTAAGAATCTCAAAAGCACATTTCTCAGTCATTATCCATAATTTGTATATCACGGGATATTCTGAGCATGATTCCCTAAAGGACCAAAAGTACTTTCCTTCTCATTCTTGTCCTTTTTCCCTGGTGCTACAGAACTGGGGGCCGAACCGAAAGCCTGGTGGCAGGAATAGGGAGGTCACTGGTGGTAGCTGCTGTGAGTCCTGCCTTGTCTGTGCCTGTGCAGGAGTTCTGTCTCACCCTTAGCACCAGGGAGCATCGTGTTGGGAAAGCAATTGGAAGAGGTCAGGCAAAAACTTTAATTCACAGTTTCAAGAAAATACAGAACTAGTTTGTATAACATGGTTTATATCACAGCCTTGCTTATTTATTCTTTCATCTGTTGAGTGTTCCAATTTGTTATGGCAGATAGTGAGGTCAGAGGGAAGAAAACTGTTTAACTGTTTTCAGTTAAGCAATGAGACAGTTTCATAGTAGGGACATGCAAGTGGACTTGGCAGGAAGGTCAAGGACCTGTAATTGGAATTTCATGGAATTGGCCAGGCAGACAGGACAGAAGTCAGAGAGGGCCATAGTGTGTGGCTCTTTTCCTGACCTTTCCGTGTCTAGCTGCTTTTCCTAGTGTACTGGTCTTAAGTCCTATGCCTTTTCTCGCAGGTAGAAATAAGTAGAAGGTATTTGATCATTGATCCGAGGTCTTATGTTAAATTTGACAGAATTTAATATTTGAATAATCTCTAGCTCATATCTGATGTACTTTTGTTTTATTTCCTAGCAGTACTGGGGGTTTGAACTCAGGGACTTACACTTGCTAGGCATGCATACTACCACTTGAGCCATGCACCCAGCCCCTTCCCCCTTGTTTTGCTTTGGTTATTTTTAAGAAAGACTCTTGCTTTTGCCGGGGCCAGCATGAACTTCTGTCATCCTATTTATGCTTCCTGTTTATGTGGCTGGGATGACAGGTGTGCACCACCACACCCACCTTTTTCTGTGGAGATGGGGACTTGTGAACTTTTTGCCCAGGCTGGCCTTGAATCTCAATCCTCCTGATCTCAGGCTCCCAGGTAGCTAGGATTATAGGCATGAGTCACCTTGCCCAACTCTAATGTAATTTTACTTACCCTTTTCTGTAATTTAAGCAGCGGCATTCCTCTGCTACAAGAAGAATCAAAAGGAGCCGGAGTAGTACTTGCCTAGCCCTGAGTTCAAACCCCAGTACTTGGGGGAGGGGGGAGGTAGGGGAGAGGAATCAATAAAAAGCACAGTATAAGTAGAATACTATTGAATTTGAATAGGAAAGGAACCAGGAGAAAAATGCGTATTGGAGAGCAATGGTAAAACTGTCCTCAGTACCAATTGGATATTTTTACCTTTCATCTGAGCATGTTACTCACAGGCGCATCTTTATCCCACTGTGAATTCACGCAAAGAATTCTGAGCCAAGTAGAAGTTGATGTTTTGAGTTTGTATTGGGTAACGTTGAAGTCATGTCCTGGTATACATATCCCTGGTGCACATTTCAAAATAATTTACCATGAGAGGTGGGGTTCAGTGCTTAGAGTGCATGCTTACCATGTGTGAGATAAGCACCACCCCCCAAAAACGTATCATTTGTGCTTTGTTATGTGTTTATACAAAGTAAGGGAAATTGTCCCTGCTCTGGTGTAGTTGAGAGCCCCTGGGGCAAAAGTGCTACATTCTACTCAGTTTCCGTGGCAGGTTGGTAGTGTGGCACTCAGCATGTGGTCCCCATTTTGTCTGCACATTGAAGGAGTTGTGCAAGTGATCTTAAATTCCTTGTAGCTCTAAAGTTCTGTATTTTTGCACTTTCTTACCTCAAGGCCTTTTTAGTCTGACTTAGACCAAAGTATAATTCCTTCATGAAATGATAGCAAAGACATTGTTTTTTTCTCATTCCCTTAGCAACAGTGTAATCCGTTACACCCTCATTTGCAAAGCTCTTTGTAAATTATGTTCCCCACTCCCCAAACCATTCAGTTCCCAAGTCCAGCTAATAAAAATTACAATAGTGTCTGATAGCACCATATTACCAAATATATAACAGTCCCAATTTTGTTTCCATTGTGAAGAAGTGATAAGACACATATTTCCAGATGGGTACTAGTTTGATACTTAAATACTGGTTCCTTAAATACCTTAAAGCAGTGACTTGAAACTGACAGCAAAAAGACGTGTAGTGAGCTAGGCGCTGGTGACTCATGCCTGTAATCCCAGCTATTCAGGAGGCAGAGATCAGGAGGATCTCAGTTCAAAGCCAGACCGGGCAAATAGTTCGCCAGACCCTATCTCGAAAAAACCCATCACAAAAAAGGGCTGGTGGGAGTGTCTCAAGATGTAGGCCCTGAATTGAAACCCCAGTACCGCAAAAAACAAACAAACAAATCACTTTATGTACCTTGCTCTCATTCTCTGCTAAGCTTTGTCTGTAGCTTTCTTATGCTGTAAGTAATGGATTGCTAGCATAACATAGGCAGACCCTCACTGTGGTAGACAGACTTCACCTCGGAAGCTTTCCTTGAGACAAAGGAGGTTGTTTTCTTTTGATTTACTAACAGATCTCATAGATCTTTATCAAAACATGTCATTTGAGCAGAGTATGGAACTGTGCAGGTATCAGCACGATAAGAGGCAAAGGCTTTCCTTGTGGATTGTTAACCAAAGGGTAAGTATTTATTGAGCCCATCACTGGGACACAAGGAAAAACAGGCCCAAATGAATCCTTGCCAGAAGTAGCTTGCAGTGAGCCTGGGACATTGCAGTTCTGACCATGGCGTGGTGTGGTGTGATGTGGTGGAGGGGAGCCAAGACAGTCTTTAAAAGTGTGGAGATATTAATTACCAAGTGAATTTCACTCACTCTGTCTTTCTTCTGGTCTGTTTAGGATGGTCTTTCATGTATTTACTTCCCCATTTTGTTTTTTCCTGTTTTGTTTCTGTTAGGAGAGAACATTGAAGTTATTCTCTGAGCTATTTGAAGAGAGTGACTAAATGCACCTGGGTCAGGCGGCCTGTGGGTATGAAGTGGTTGGGAGAATCCAAGAACATGGTGGTGAATGGCAGGAGAAATGGAGGCAAGTTGTCTAACGACCATCAGCAGAGTCAATCAAAATTACAGCACGCGGGCAAGGACACGCTGAAGACTGGCAGAAACACAGTCGAGAGGAGGTCAAACAGATGTATGTACACGCTCAAACTGTCACTGTCCTTGGTTCTGATTCAGGCAGTAGCTCTTCCATTTGTAATGTGTAAGGTTTTCAATTGTCATCAAGATGATTCAGTACATTCATGGTTAACAGAATAGCCTTCTTGTTCTCAAAGTTGTATCAGTTTTCATCTTTCCCCCTTTTTTTGGAACAGGGTCTCACTGTGTTGCCCAGACTGAACTCAAACTCCTGGCTCAAGTGATCCTTCTGCCTCAGCTCCCCAAGCTGAGGACTACAGGTGGTTTTTAGGGTTATTGAGCAGTGTGTAAAATTTAAGTTTAATGCTTTATGTCATCCCAGTCATGCTTTTTATCCATAACTATATTGCGTAGAATTTGTACCTGTTCTATAAAATTTTTTTAAATGTCATTGATGAATCTTTTGTACATTTAAACTGAAGCTGTTTCTTTTATATTCAGAGTAAGCATAAGTAAATACTTTTTTGGTAACTTCCATAAATGTTTCATTGAATAATGGAAATAATAAAGTCACCTCTGGTTTACATGGTGAGTAGAATGGAGACCAGATAGTACTAATTGTTTTAAGAGCTGGGCATGGTGGAATGTGCCTGTAATCCCAGCACCTGGAGGCAAAGGCCAGAGAGGTATGAGTTTGAGGTCTGCCTGAGCTGCTTTTGAACAGCATCACAATTGCAGGCGGTCTGTTTCTGCAGGTGAGCCGCCATCCTGACAAAAAGCACCACTACAGTGAGTTGCTTCGTTGCCTCTGATGAACTACTTTTTGAGAGTTTAGGGAATTGTAGGTTTGATAATTGTTTCGTAGTTCCTCTCAGTATTAAAATGCCTAAGTAGGCTGTTAATATTATCCAAAATGGGCACTCACGTTAGAAGGACAACCTTTTCAGTGTCTGCTTTTCCTAACATCAAGCCAGCCATTATTGAATGTCCTCAACTTTTGTTGGGATTGGTACATTCCTGGTGGCTTGGATTAACCTGGGGTTTTCTACGGTTTCACATAGATTGCAGTAGTCCTGGTTCATTTCCTCCTCCATACCTTTTAGAGGGTTATGCTGTACGTTGGGCCCAGGCTGCCTTTACTCTTTTCCTTTCAGGTCAGATTATTGTTTCTGTAGAAACCAGACACAGTTGTGCTTCGGTTAAGCCCAGGACTGCATAGGTACCAGCTCGCCCTGAGGCTGCCACCAGCATGTGTCCTGATATTCTCACCCATAGCACTTAGTGGGAGCCTGAAGGCTGAGAGGCGTAATTACTTATCAGTGGTATTGATTGTGGTCAGTAAGTTAGGCGTCTCTGAAGCTTTGGAACAAATTACTGTTGTCCTCCTTTTGTGCATCATACGCAAAAAGGTTCTTGTTTTAATTAAATTGTCAGAGATGCATGAGAATTTAGAAAATGACCAGTACATGGATTATACTTTGCCTAGGGTAGGTAAATATAGGATAGGTTGGTGACGCCAGGGTGTGGATGTGGCAGCATCACATTGAATGTTATTGGGCAAGAATGGTACAGAAAGAGAGCCAATCTTGAAGAGAAACAGGCCAAACACACAGGCAGTGCTCTACCTTCACCTAACATCAGAACCTCAAGACACACAAAGCAAAAGACTGACATGGAAGCAAAAACCAGACAACTCAACAATGAATTGGATACTTCAATACTTCACTTTTAGTAGTGGGGAGAACAGCTAGCATAGGATCAACAAGGAAAGAGTGGACTTAGCTCTGTAAACCAAATAGATCTTCTAGACATCAGTAGAATGTTGTACTCAACATCATCAAAATACACGTTCTTGTGTGTGCACTGACGTTCTCCAGGACACAGGACAGACCATTTAGTGGGCCATATGACAAGCCCCAATAAACTTACTTATGTTCTCTGACCACAATGAAGTAGAATTAGGAGTCAATAAAGTAATGTGGGGGGATTCACTAATATGTCGAAATTAACGTGCTCCTAAATAATCAGTAGATCAAAGAAGAAATCAAAAAGGAAATGAGTGAAAAATGAAGATACAATGTTCTAAAACATGGAATGCAGCTGAAGTAGCACTTCAGTATTAAAAAAAGAAAGATCCCAGGTCAAGTGTGGTGGTACATACCTGTAATCCCAGCTATGTGGAAGGCAGAGATGAAAGGATCACAGTTGGAGATTAGCCTGAGCAAAAAAAAAAAAAAAAAGTTATTGAGACCCTAGCTTGAAAAATAAGCCCAGGTCTAGTGGTACATGTGGATAATCCCAACTATGTTTTTGGGCAGTCCAAGCAAAAAGTACAAGACCCTATTTGAAAATCAAACTAAAACAAAAAGGACTGCCTCCAGTCCTTTTAGTTTAGTCCTCAGGTGGTAGAGCACACAAGCTCAAGCCATGAGTTCAAATCCCAGTACGAGCAACAACAAAAAAAGTTCTCAGCCAGGCACTGGTGCGTCATACCTGTAATCCTAGCTACTCAGGAAGCAGAGATGAGAAGGATCGTGGTTCAAAGCCAGCCTAGGAAAATAGTTCACAAGACCCTATCTTGAAAATATCCAACACAAAACAGGTCTGGTGGAGTGGCTTAAATGGTAGAGGGCCTGCCTAGCAAGCGTGAGGCCCTGAGTTCAAATCACAGTACAGCAAAAAAAAAAAAAAAAAGTTCTCAAATCAATAATCTTTTCTCTTCCATGTTAGAACAGCAGAAAAAGAAGAATGAAAACAAGTAGATGGGAGAAATAAAGATTAAGGGAGAGATTAATGAATAGAGAATAGGAAGAAATAACCAAAAGTTGATTCTTTGAAAAGATTGGCAAACCTTAAGCAAAACCAAGAAAAAGAAGACTCAGTTTACTAAGATCAAAAATGAAAGAAGCAACACTGTTAACTGCCTTGCAGAAATAAGAGATGATGTAACAGATAATTATGTATGGCAACAAATTAGATAACTTAGAAAAATGGGCAGGTTTTATCTAGCACACTACTTCAAATGATTCAGGATGGAATAAACAAAATCTGAAAAAACCCATAGCAATTAAAGAGATACAATCAAGTAGTTTAAAAAATAATAAGCGTTGGGTGCTGTGGCACAAGCCTATAATCCTAGCCAATCAGGAGGCAAAGATCAGTAGGATCACAGTTTGAGGCCAGCCTGTGCAAAAAGTTTATGAGACCTCCATCTCAACCAATAAAAAGCTGGGTGCAGTGGTGTGCGCCTGTCCTCCCAACTATGTGGAGAGCATAAGTAGGAGGTTCGCGGTCCAGGCTAGCCTGGGCATGAAGTGAGAGCCTATCTCAAAAGTGACCAATGCAGAAAGGGCTGGCAAAGTGGCTCAAGTGGTTGAGTGCCTTCCTAGCAAGTGCAAGGCTCTGAATCTAAACCCCCACCCCCAATACCAAAAAAAAAACCACAAAAAACAAAACTAATTTAGTTTTGTAAAAAAAGCTACCCACAAAGAAAATCTCAGGTACAGTTGCCTGAATTATCTGAGATGTCTAAGGAATTAATACCAATTCTTCATAAACTTCCAAAAAATAAAAGAGAAAGGAACATTGACTTGGCTACCCTGCTACCAAAACTAGATATTACAAGGAAACAGATTAATACCTCTTTTTAAAATAGACACAGAAATCCTCAACAAAATGCCAGCAAAGCAGGCTGGAAACGTGGCTCAGTTGGTTTGGCCTTACCTCACATGCCCTGAGTTCAGTCCCTAGCACCACCATAAAAACATACTAGCAAACCAGATCCAGCAGCGTCTGAAAGGAATTCTGGCAGGTAGCATAGTCTAATGGAATTTACCCCAGGAATGTAGGGTTGATTTAACATCTGAAAACCAATTAATGTAATAAACCATATCAATCTCAGTAGGTGTAGAAAAGGGGTAAAGTCCAGAACACTTTTGAGGAAACATTCAGTAAACTAGGACAGAAGGGGTACCTCAACCTGATAAAGCACACCTACAAAAGTCCCATAGCTAGTGTCATATTTAATGAGAAAAGACTGTTTTTTCCCGAAGAGTCAGGAAAAGACAAGTATATCCACTTTCACCAACTTCATTCAATGTTGTACTAGAGGTTCTAGCCAGAACAGTTGCGTAAAACAATGAACTAAAAAGCACTCAAATGGAACAAGAAGTAGAGTATGAAATATTGTAAGCACTTTTGTAAATGTCACAATGTCCCCCAGTACAACAGCAATACGATAACTAAAAGAAACTTACTGCAGTGCTGCCGTAATGAGGACAGTGGTGATCTTTCATGGATGTGGAGCTCCATAGAATAAAATGACTTGATCAGCTGATTTGTTGGTAACAGTGCCAACAGAATTCAGTGAGGAAGAAGTAGTCTTCTCAGTAAGTGGTGCTGGGAAAACCAGATATCCTTATGCAAAGAATGAAATTCTGCAAAACTAACCCAAAATTAATCCAAGGCCTAAATGTGAAAGCAAAACCTATAAAAGTCCTAGAAGAAAACAGGCATAATTTTTCCTGATTTAGGGTTTGGACAATAAAAACACAAGGACCAACAACAGAAACAAAAATTAATAACAATAGCAAACTTTGCTGCTTTAAAGGACATCATCATGAAGATGAGAAAACAACCACAGAATGAAAGAAAATACTTTCAAATCATGTATCTGACAAAGGACTAGTATCCAGAATATACAAAGAACTCTTAAAAATCAACAGTAAAAGACAAAATCCAATTTTAAAATGGGCAAAGAATCTGAATAGACAGAAATTGCTTCAGAGATACACAAATGGCCAGTTAAACACAGGAGATGTTTAACATCATTAGGAAGGTAGAATGCAAATCAAAACCACAAAGTATGATTTCATAACCTCCAGGATGTCTAGAATCCAAAAGTGCCAGGTGTGGTGGTATGTAATCCCAGCATTTGGGAGGCTCTGGCAGAAGGCTATGAGGGCCAATCTTGACTACACAGAGACTATCTCAAAAAGCAAAACAAAAAAACAGTAAATAGTGGTGTTGGTGAGGATGTAGAGAATTTGAATCTATCCCACTGCTAGGGGGACTATAAACCCCTCTTTGGAAAAGTCTGGCAGTTCCTTAGCAGTTGCATGGAGTTACCACAGGACCTATTCGTTCCACTCCCAGGGAGAATTGAAAACATGTACGTACAATAACTTCTACACTGATGTTCATAGCAGCATTATTCGTTATGGCCAAAAAATGGAAACAGCAACCAGTGTCTCCCAACTGAAGCACAGATAACAAAAACACCGTGTCTGTCCATACGATGGGGTTTAATTTGCACAAAATAAAGGATAAAGTACTGATACGTGGTGTATCATGGATGAGCCTTGAAGACCGTGCTGTTGAAAGAAGCCCGTCACAAAGACCACACACTGTATGATTCCATGAAGCTTTCAGAGTAGCAAATCCTTAAACACAGAAAGTAGACTAGTGACTGCCAGGGTCTGTGCAGGAGGGAGGACGGGTACAGGCTGCTGATGCGGGTTCTTTTGCGGGTGATGCTTGCACAAGTTTGAGAATATACCATTGAATTGCACAGTTTAAGTGGGGAATTGGGTCTTAGGTGAATTGTATTTCAGTGAAGTTATGAAGGAGCCTCTGCTCTGCTTCCTTTATTTTTCCCTACTTTGTCCTGCTTTGTGAAATAAATCTTTGCTGGCCTTCTTTTAAAAAAAAATTAATAAATAAACATAAAGATTTAAAGCTGTTAAGAAAATATATCAGTTTGGAGCTGTGGAGTGGCTGAAGCAGTACCGGGCCTGCCTAACAAGCATGAAACCCTGAATTCAAACCCAGTACTGAGGAGGGGGGAAAAAAAAGAACAGAAATGTAGCAGTTTTGATAGCCTTCTACATAACCTACGTGAAAATAATCTGATCACAAAATCATAGAACTACCTTTGGTAGGGACCTTCATATGTTTAGTTTGTTTTGTGGTAGTGGTCCCCTTCTTGATTGTTTTTTGTTATTGGCATTGGGGATTGAACTCTAGCCCTCCACTACTTGAGCCACTCCCCCAGTCTCACTTCCTCATTTCAAGAGCCTTACAGTTACACTGCTAAAGTCCCTGTAAATTGCTTGTACTGATCCATGGAAAGATCTCAGTGGCAAGCACATGAAACTCAGCACCTATCACTCTCTCTCCCATCTTTCCCCACTTCTGCTACCTAGCTTTGTAATCCTAGGCAAGTTTCTCAACTTGGAGCCTCAGTTGCCTGCAAAGTGGGGCTAGTAATTATTTAACTGCCCAAAAGCAGGCACTGAACTTAACCCTCAGTACTTGAGACTCGGTTCTGGCACTTACTGTAGAAACAGTCTGTGTTCAGTAACTGACTAAAATAAATGATTTCAGTTCCTGATTACTAGCATGAATGGACAGTGACTGAGGATTTTAAGGTATTTATCAGTAGTGTTCAGTTTGAGTTAACATTTTTTTCTTTTGCTCTTCCAGGTAATGGTAATTCAGGATTTGAAGGACAGAGTCGCTATGTACCATCTTCTGGAATGTCCGCTAAGGAACTCTGTGAAAATGATGACTTAGCAACCAGTTTGGTTCTTGATCCCTATTTAGGTTTTCAAACACACAAAATGAATACAAGGTAATTTTATGTCTTTCTCCTGAATGGAGCAGATAATGATGTTGAATTTAAGAAAAGAGGTGGCTAACTTTACTTTTCTTCAGGATTTCAAAGGACATAGAAGGAAAATTCTTTGATATACAAGGGTTTTCTGCATTGAGCCAAGAAAACCAAGCAAAACCTTGAAAGATTTTTTTTTCCAACTTCAAGTAGGGTACATCAGTTTTCATTATAAACTTTTATTCTTTTAAGTAACTGCTACTGACTTTAGCATTCATGTTTAACCTTTGCAATTCAGCTAACCTTAATAAGGGAGTATTTTTAAGAATATGTTTATATTCATTATGCAGATAAAAAAACAGATGTGTGTTTATTTGAATACTGTTAGATCACTCTTAAAATCTCATCCTTTGGCATCTGAGGTCTCTAACCCCTTTTGCTAATTTTCTTAAATATCATCTCTCCCTCAGAATGAGTCCTTAGATCATTCATTTACTAATAGTTTCTGCCATGATGGTGTCAGGGGGTCAGAGCTTTGCCACTTTTCTTTGTCTCTTTGCTTCTGTGGCAAAGGTTTTGAGTCTAGTGGGATAGTATGCCCGCAGGGATTCAGAGTGGAGAGCAGTCTGGGCCCATTCCCTCAGCTCCAGCACACCCTTGCGGGCATTCTGTAGCGCGGTACCTGAGACAGCCTGGGAGGAATGGGAAGGCCAAGTGGATGGGCACCAACTGTCAGGGAGGAGGAGCTGGTGAGTAAGGTGACTGCAGGAGAGTCATCATTTTTCTCCCTTTTAATTTTATCCCTTGTTAGAATTAAAACAAGACACTGTATGCTTGTCAATTGCATTATAAATCCAGAAAGAAATAATTCAGGTCACATGTAGCTTTGGAATTTTCATGTAATTTCCTGCTGCCCTGTGTCTTTACTTGCTAAAATGAAGCGAGAAGTCAGAATGGAGAGATTGTTTGAACAGTCTCCTGCCAGATGGCTAAAAGGTCTCTGAAATGTTAACAAGATTGGATGCCCTGACACCCAGCTGAGGCCTCCTCGACATTATTGTTAAGTCCATTCCCTTTTTTCCATGAACACAGAAGACCAGTGCACCCTTTAGTGCTCTCCCCTTTGGTTTTCTTTTTTTTTTTTTTTTTTGCTAAGTTAAGGAATATGAATTACTTTTGGCATAGTGGTCTTCTGGGTGCCACTGCAAAGGCCCTTAGTTTTGGTCTGGAGTCATTGAAAAGTTATATTATTTTGATTTTGCCCTGTATATTGAAATACAGAGGTATATAAAACATTTGAGAAAGTTAGTCCATCAAAATTGCAACAAAAGTTTTAATGGCTTCTGAAAGAACTTCTATTCTGAAACCTCTGTGCTTTATTGCAGAGGAGGGAGGGATTCCTATTACTCTGCAAGAGGAAATACTTCACCTTTCTATCAGGCCCTCCTAAACCACTGATAGTTACCATTAGTCACCTGAGAATCTGTCTAAAATGCAAAGTGTAGTCAGTAGTTTTGGGGTGGAGCTTGGGATTCTGCAATTCTAACAAGTTCCCAGACTCTGTTTGGAATAGTTAGGTCCTAACCCATCCAGCCTGTGGGTTTCACTGTGATGTTATAAGTGGATAAAAAGTTCCTAGCTAGTTTCTGAGAGCAGGCTTAAAACCATATAGTTATAAGATGTAGAATTCAGAGGAGTTGCGGGGCTTAGTGGTAGACTGCTTTCCTGCCATGCACGAGACTCTGGATTCCATTCCCACACACACAAGAAATAATGAAGTATAGGATTACCACACAATTGTCAAACTCAAGATCTTCCAACATGAAGACTCCAATGTGAAAATGAATCCTGAGTCCTGTTTCTGTAGAAATTGAAGCATCTAAAGTAAAAGCTAGTTAAACAAGTTAAACCTGCAGGAGGAAACATTTGCTGGTATTTTTCTGTGCAACATTTAATCATACAGTTCCTAAAATAGCCTGTGGTGGTGTATCCAGACCTGCTGGGGCAGATTGGCTTGAGGCTGGTGTGGTAGTGCAGATGATGTCGTCCTCCTCTCTGTCCAGCGATTTCCTGTGCGTGGGGGTTTCAGCCCCTCTCCTGTGAGCCTCGTCCAGCATTTGGGAAAGCACAGGACTTTTTTTCTCCTTGCCATGCTGGAGATGGAACCCAGAGCCTCACACATGCTAAACAAGCCTCCTACCACTCAGTTATACCCTCCCCACAGAAATGTTATTGATAATATCTGTTGAAACCTTTTCACTTCATCTTAGTGGACTTATTTCAAGATGAAACTGTCCTTTCTAACTCTTCATCTTTTGAACAAGAGTTTACCAGAATATTGACTTAAATCATTTTCAAAATACTATTTTACAGAAAATTTGAATTTTAAGTTTAAGTTTATAAAATACTTCCTAAATTATTACTGTATGGATTTCTCAGTCTTTGGATATAAAGGAAGTGACTAAAAGGTGTAATAAATCTTGCATTTTAATTCTGTGTACTATCTAGATATTAATTATATGAGTGGTCTTTGCTTATGTATGTATCTGTCATTTTCTAGTTTCTCTTTTATTACCCTTTGCTTCCCTTCTGCTTCTTTCAGTGTACCTCCAGGAATAGTATTTAAAAACAGTAGATGTTTAACTGATTTCAGAATTTCCAAAACTGGCTCTATTTTGAATACTGGTATTTTTTGCTTTGTTTCGTTTGGGTTTTGGTTTTTGGTTTGTTTTGGGTGGTATTTCTGTTTTGTTTTGAAACAAGATGTCTCTATGGAGCCCAGACTGACCTCACATTCAGTCCTCTTGCCTCAGCCTCCTGAGTGCTGGGATTATAGACGTGCACCACTTCACCTGGCTCTGAGCCCTTAACTTTTAATCTTAATTCCTTTATTTACCAACACGTGAGCCAGAGTTTTGTAGCATGTGTACTTACTATAAGCAAAATACTATTTTTAATTTATTGGGAAAATTTGTATTTAATTGACTTTTGTCAGTTATGAAACTTAAATTCTTTCTCACAAGAGAATTGTTGATACTATGATTTTTCAAAGGGTATTTGGGGGCAGGATGTTAAAAAGATGGGGTGAATGATTCATGTCAGTAAAGCCCTTGTTTTGGCAGTGTGACCATGAGATTTCATAAGCACCCTAAGTTGGGCCGGGCCTCCAGAGGGAGCAGGCTGAGGGAATGGCGTTACAAAGCAAGCGTCATCTCGGGACTTGTTCAGAACCTCTCTAGATTTTTCTAATCTGAATGTCAGCTTTTCATGTCCTTACTCATCTTTCTGTTACTGCTACTGTGTTGTTACCTGCTGAGCCTTCCAGAGTCTCATAAAGTTCTTAAACTATCAGTGTGTTAAGGATTTTTGCTACAACAAATATTGTAACTACAAATTGTACAAATAGTTTTTTATTGTTGTTGTTTGTTTTTGCATTTATATAGCGCCTTTCCTTCGAGGAGCTCCAGGCATTTTTCAAAATCTGACAGTTTTTCTCACAACAACCCCGTGAGGTAGGTAGAGTGCATTGCAAGCAATGAGACATGGCTGACCTGTTTGAGCCCGTAAGATGTGGTGTTCAAAATGTTGGGTAACTGGAGGTGCCATCAGAGCACAGCTTTTAGAACATTTAGCAAACCTTCGAAACCTTTGACACTTTCTGTGTCAAGTCATGAAGGAACCCTCTGCAGCTGTGGTTGTGACTTCCTCTGCATGACTGTAAACTGTCAGTCTGCAGTGAAACTTCTATCAAAGGGGAAATGTGTTCACTGTGTTGCCTCATGGTTTTCTTATTCTGCATCTTAAATATTTGAGCATTTTTCTCTCTTCCTTTCTCCTTCCATTTCTCCCTTTTTCTGTTCCTTCTCTTCCCTGTACCTCCAGTCAACTCTTGGGTGTCATGCTATTGGAAGGGCATAGTAACACAGCTAATCAGATCTGCAACTTTTCTCCATTGCCACAGTGGTCTCTTGGGTTTGGAGACAGAAAACTCAAATAGCAAGAAAGCCTGGAATGTCAGTCTCTGGAGAGACTGGGGGACAGGTGTGTGGGAGTGTGAATTCATATTTTTTCCTGCCCCTTTTAATGATAGCTGATAGTAAATTACACATTTTATTTCTTCCCCAGCCAGTAATCAGAGGTATAGGAAGAGAAAGCTAAATATACTTGGCTTATTTCAGCTAGCATTTTTGATAGTAAGAGTGGGAGGAGGGAGTATATTAATTTGGAAATGCCAGAATACTTCTTTTTCTTGCACCTCCCAACACCCCAAAACGAAATCTTAAAATCCGTATTTGGACCCATACTGTGCCCTGCATGGGCTCAGTGCTGCTGCACAGTGGAAAACACAAGTTAAATCCTTTTCTAACTAGGAAGCAGTGTATAGGGGGCTCTCCTAGGCCATTGATAGAGCAGTGCAAGAATGGCATTGGCCCTGATGCCTTGTTGAGCCTTGTTTTTCTCATTTGCAGACAGGATTATTGTAGACATTCTAAATTTTTTTCTGGTATACTTTTTTTCTACTGATACTTTTTAAGTATCACTGTATAATGATAGCTTTGTGCAATTTATATGGGAGATTTGGAGCAATTCTCATTGAGGAAATGAGAGGGTATCTTTCCAAAGGTCTTTAGTGGTCTTTGCTCTGGCCCTAATAGCTGTGACAGTTTTATGTTATTGAATAATTTTTCTCTCATACACTATTTGTTACAACGGGATTTGACTTGTGCTATTGGCCAGGTTATTTTTATATGAATCTGTAGTCAGATTATTAAAGTGAGTCTTCTTTTACCTGTCAGTATCCATACCTTTTTCTTCCTCCTTTTCCTATCATTTCATGCCTATAGCAGCCAACTGTTGACAGTAAGTTTTGACACCTTTGTAATTTGATAGCGAAATACATTTTAAGTGAAATAGAAGTTCCTGCTAGTAGTGGGTAGCAAGGGATAGTTGAGGCAATACAAAATCAGAAAACCAGAAACAGGTCAGTTCAGGACAGGCCAGAGGCAGAGCTGATTATTTGTACTGGTTTTAGCATATAAACTGCTTGCCATCATGAACAAAAAGCTGACAGAGCTAAGGGGAGCTGCAAGATGTTTTTCGACAGGAAGGAATGTGCTTCAGAAGGCAAAGAATACACATCACTTCTGTTACAGATATACAACATCAACCTCAGGTCTGTAGCGTGCTTTGAGGTCAATTTAACCATGACTTGCTTTCATATGTGTGGAGACGTGTTTTTTTTAAATAGAGAGTGACCATGAGTCAGTTCCCGTAAAACATACAAAGATAGCTTGGCTCTTTCTGTCATTTGTGCTCTTGATACTTAGCATCATGGATAGTTTACTGCATTTGTTAAAAGTGATCTATTATTTTGCTGCTTACTGTGCAAAACATAGGTTATCTGTTTCCCACCATTTTGTATTTTGTTGTATTTTTTTGGTGGGACTGATATTTGAACTTGGCTTCGAGCTTGCAAAGCAGGCGCTCTACCACTTGAGCCATAGCTCCAGTCTATTTTGCTCTGGTTATTCTGGAGATGGGGTCTTGTGAACCATTTGCTTGGGCTGGCCTCAAACCTTGATCCTCCCTATCTCAGGCTCCCAAGTAGTTAGGATTTCATGTGTGAGCCACCAGCGTCTACAGCTATTTTGTTTTGGCTTCTGTTGTTTTTTTGGGGAAGGGTTTTGTTTTTTGCAATACTGGGATGGAACCTTATGCATGCTAGGCAAAAGCTCTTCCACTGGGCTGTATCTCCAGCCCTAATCTGTTCTTCATATGCAAATAACCATGCAGTGTGGGATTGCAGCTAGCATGATTTAGATTGGCTTTTTTATAGATCTTATCTTGACAATCAGTTGTGTGAGTGGTTTAATACAGACACTTGTGTGCTTCCCCAATTCTGCAGATCTTTAGATTATTAGTGGTAGTTCTCTGGCCCATATTCTGACGTCCTAAGATGTTCCAAATTGTTTAAATGAACCATTGTACTAATGGCTGGAAGATAAGCCATTCATTTCTGCTTGTGCGTCCTCTGGACTATGTTTGAACTCTGATAATTCTGATTAACAGTTGGGAGAATCCAGGGTAAGCAAAACTAGTGTCCATAGATAATAAGTTTCTAATGACATCACTGTGTGTCAGTGCATCTCAAGTCCTCTGGAACTCCTGTCCAGTAAACAGTATTATACCCGTTCTGGACCGCATTTCTCCCCTCCTCCTGGTTCTAGTAGTTTCCTTACTGTTGCTAACCGGTTGACCCTGGTCAGCTGCTTGAATCCAGCCTTAAGAACCTCTGCTTTATAATTAACCCAAAAAGGGCTGGTAGCATGGAAAAAGGTCCTCTGTTCCTACTTCCTCTCACTCCACTTCCCTTCCAGTTTTTCTTCCCTTTAGTATGTGCTTTTCCTTTCAAAAGCTAATCACCACTGTCCTCCTTGTCCATGTCACTGTCAGCTCCAAAACCCTTCCAAGCAATCTTGCATCTTTGTTACAGTTCCCATACTCTGAAGTGCTGTAGCAATATAGTCTTCACCATGTTAACATACATTTGCATGTTGATGTGTTGCTTAACTGTTTTATTCACGTATTCATATGTGATAGATATATAAGATACATGCGTGTGTGTCTTTTATTCTCGTTTAGATTTTTCATTAAAGAACAATAGTTCTGTCTTCTGCCTCTGGTATTTCTCACCATAGCATTTCACGAGCTGCTGCATATGGAGCACCTAATAAAGAATCCCTTGTGGAATATTGTGGCTTAAAATCTTACTGAAATGTTAATAAATACATTTACAATAGTTTATCTTGAAAAACTGCTCAGTGCTTCCTTTGCTGGAATTTGTGCTAGATCTTATCTCAGTGCTAGTGTTTTTAGGCGCGCAAGATGTGTGATTTAAAATAGTAAAGTATGCTTCGATTTTTTTTTTTTTCTTGAGCTACTGATACTTTTCCTTAATGTATTTTATTTGAACATAAATAATTCCCATAATTCCTTTTGGGAAAATTATCCAAATGAAATTGACATGAAGAAATTTTGAAGTTAAGCTCTAAATAGCGTTAGTCAAAGAGCAGCTTTAGAATGAAGGGCTTCTGGTCTTACCTGGACCATGATCTTATCCTGTGTTAATGCATGCCTAGCAGTATGATATAATGAAGTCTTTATGGCAGATTTTACAACAGGAGCCTTTTCAGATTCTGCCCCAGCATTTTCACCAGTGTAACAGACTCACTGCCAGAGGGATGCTTACTGCCCTTGTTTTGTTCTCTAAATGCAGTCATCAAATGTCAGCACGATGTGGGAGGTTAGAACAGCAGCGTGTATTTGAACAGCTGTTGGGATACTTGGTGTGGGGGTTTTCTATGTAAGCGCATAGGTGGTTTTTGTGTGTGGCGTGATTTTATGTGTCCATCATACTTAAACTCATCACCTTCCACTCTTCTAGCTTGATTCTGCGTGTTTTTAAAAATTCTTGTCTTTTTGACTTTCAGTTAGATATGCTGTATTCTAAGTCTTTGGGTTTATTCCTTCCGAGGTAGATGACTGACTAGTGTTTGCCCAAAGCAGATAGTGTTTGTTTGCGTCATCTGCTCACCCACTAATGAGATAGATGATGAGATGCAACTAAATAAAAATAGTAAAATAAGGTTTGAAGAAAAAGAAGTTATATTTCCAAGTGATCACTCTATTAATTGAACAGTAATTGAAAAGATTATTGATTTTCTTTTGCTAGATTTTTGCTTTGATAGCCATGGCTGGTTTTTGCTTGATTTGTTCTTGTTTTAGGTACTAGGGTTTGAACTCAAGGCCTCGCATTTGCTAGCCAGGCACCCCACCGCTTGAGCCACACCCCCAGCCCAGCCGTGACTCTTTTCAGGGTATTAGCTCCTTCTCAAGGTCTCTGAAGGAGATTCAGTGGCCCCAGAATTGTGGTAGGTAACTAAACTTGTTTTGATTTCTTTCAGATTCCGACCTATTAAGGGAAGGCAAGAAGAACTGAAGGAAGTAATTGAGCGCTTTAAGAAAGATGAACACTTAGAAAAAGCCTTCAAATGCTTGACGTCAGGTGAATGGGCACGGCACTATTTCCTCAACAAGAACAAAATGCAGGAGAAATTGTTCAAGGAACACGTAAGTTTCTAGATCAGCAAATGCTATTAGCCTGTCTAGATAAGATTGTACAGTAAACTAAAACCTGGATATTGTCTTTTTTTTTTTTTTTTTTAATAGTGCTGGGAATTGAACCCACAGTCTTATGCATACTAGGCAAGTGCTCTACCACTGAGTTTTTCATAAAAATAGAGAGCATAAAAATCTTGTAATACATAAGACCATTTAGATGACTGTCCAACAGGAAACTTTGTCGTCTAGGAGTAAAGTTCAATGTGAACTTTCAGAGAAAGGTACTCAAATAAGTGAAATGTCAGAGTAGCAGGAAAATTTGTTAATTATTGTATGCTGGTGGTGGTGGTGAGCTTTTATAATTCTGAGAAAGTCTAGCAGGATACACAATTTAGTCATCATATTTTTCCCCTTTTAGGTATTTATTTACTTGCGAATGTTTGCAACTGACAGCGGATTTGAGATACTGCCTTGTAATAGATATTCATCAGAACAAAATGGAGCCAAAATAGTTGCAACAAAAGAGTGGTAATTATTATACTAGTCTAAACTCATGATTGTAGTTAAAGCTCTCCTAAATTCCCCTTGAAGTGCTAAGAAATTCACGGTAAGGATCGAAGCCAAGGTTCACCCGGAGGGGTCAGAGCCATGGCAATTGCTCTGATCTATTGACTGAGTCGCAGTGCTGAAACCAGAAGTCTGAGCGAACCAGGTCCCATCTCTGGGCCACACTGCTTTTCATTTTCCTTGTGTTGAGTCTGGGTGTCTGCTCAATGTTGAAACAACAAAGTTTGGGGATGCCTGGGTTGTTAAAGTGGCTCTGAGTCAGTCTTTCACTGGCCTAGAGGAAATGTCGGGGTGAAGTTTTAACAATCCCAGGTGGTTTATGAGTGACACGGTACCTACTTTAAAAAATGTACATGTGTCGGCTTCAATAAAAGTAGTAGAATTAGTTGAACCTTGCTGGGAAGCTTAAAAGCCATAGACATGAGAGAATATATGACTTTATCTTTCCCATAATGCCTTTCCCTACCTTTTCTCCCAGAAGAAGATTATAAGAAATGATTACCTTACAGTAAGCCCTTCTCATAATTCTTCAGTATTTCATATGGCAAAATGGACGGGCAAAAGAACATAACCCCCGAGCCCCTGGGACGGCCGTGTGTCCACAAATGTGCCTTGCCTCAGGACGGTGTGGAGCCCGCTGTTTGGTCAGGTGGCTTCCTGTGCTGCTACAGGATGAGAGTGTAGACTTGAGGCCAGTAGTTCCAGCGCTGTTTGCTGTGTGTAGTATGCTAGCCGCCAGCTGCACACAGACTCCAAACTATGTTGTGGTTCTCATTAATAGCCCTCATACTGATTTCCTACTGAAATGGTGTTCGGGATGTGTTGGATTAAAACATATTATAAAGTAATTTCACCTCTTTTCTCCTTATTTCCTTAATATGGCCACTAGAACACTCAAGCCTACAGTTTGGGCTCACACTACACTCCCAATAAATGGTGTGCTCTCATTGGTGGCGCCATAATTCTGAATCCTTGTGACCCTTTGCTGGGGCTGGTCCCTGTGTACTTCATCTGGTAATCAGCAAATTTACTGCAATGCAGCAAGTATTCGAGCCCTTTCTGCCCGCGTAAAACACCGCACCGTGTGTTGCAGGCATTCAGAGACGTGGGTGGCATGGTTCTTGTCCTGGAAGAGCTGCCTTTCTTTCATAGGGATAAGGTGGTAACAGTAGCCGTAGTACCAGGCTGGGGGCTCCAAGGAGGAAGCAGGAGACACCCAGCTAGGAATGCAAGTTGAGTCAGCTAAAATACACACAGTTATGGCTGCTCATTTCTGCTATGTATTGAGCAGTCTTATTTTATTAAAAGAAGCCTTATTCATAATTACTAGTAATTCTTATCACATATTTTAAATAGGAAACGAAATGACAAAATAGAATTACTGGTGGGTTGTATTGCCGAACTTTCAGAAATTGAGGAGAACATGCTGCTCAGACACGGGGAGAACGACTTCAGCGTCATGTACTCCACGCGGAAGAACTGCGCTCAGCTCTGGCTCGGCCCTGCCGCCTTCATAAACCATGGTAAGCACACTTCCCAGGCCGCACTGCTGTCGCACAGGCCTGCCACAGTCACTGCGCCGTGCTGAGCTCCCCGAACTTGACCCCATAAAGGGGAGTTTGAAATCCGCTTCGTTTTCACAAGCTTGTTAAAGTAGATGTTCCCAGTTTCACTTCCGACCCAAACTTCTTTTAGAAATTGTGGGATTGTCTGCAAAGCCTTTTCAGATTTCTGTGACTGTTCGTGTTTCAGATCTTATCAGCAGTTAATTGACTTTCTCTTTTGGACATTTTTCAGATTGCAGACCTAACTGTAAGGTAAGCATTCTTAAAAATCTCAGGTATTTTGTTTCTGCCTCAAGTGTGAGACTCTTATTAATGAATTACTTTTATTTCAGTTTGTGTCAACTGGTCGAGATACAGCATGTGTGAAAGCTCTAAGAGATATTGAACCTGGAGAAGAAATTTCTTGTTATTATGGAGATGGGTTTTTTGGAGAAAACAATGAGTTTTGCGAGTGTTACACTTGTGAAAGGTAGAGTATTAAGATTTTCAGCTTAAGCATTCGCTTAACCACATGGGGGCTGTGAGCTTTACTCCGATACTTTGTCTTTCGAGTGCAGAGATAGTTCTTACGTTCTGTAGCACAGCACCCAGTGCAAAGTGGATCAGCAAAACCACACAGGATGCACGGCTTCAGGGACACTGGCACCTGTCCCTCTAAAATCCTACTCTCACCAGCTGTCAGAATACAGTGGCAGTGTCACCAGTGGGTCAGAATACAGAAGTGCTTAAGGAGAGAAAGAGCAATAGCGCACACGCATGTCCTCATGCGACACCGGGGTGGGACTGCTCCCAAATGGCTAGCGAAGCTCCCGCTGACAGCCACGTGAAAACCTTCAAGACCTGCGTGGGGCATTGAGCTGGGTCTTGGCCGTTTTGCTCTGATGCACGCGCTCTTAAAGTTCCCCAGTTCTTTCTCTGGCATCACCCATCGAGGAGTCTGTTTTTGTGACCCATCAAGACTTTGGCCTTGGTTTGGGGTTTGTAGTCTACTCTATGTAAGGCCCTATGTTCGACACCCCACACCACAGGGAAAAAAAGGATTCTGAGTCCTTATGGAAATGACCCCTCTTCCAAGGTGGTACCGACTGCGCAAACCACACAGGAAGGGAGCCACTGAACTGAACCCATCTTGCACACCTTGCGCTGTGTTAGGTACTTTACTCACCCTGCCTTGGCCAGTCCTCAACAGTTGCCCTGGGAGAGAACAGCAGTTCTGACTTCAGTGTCCTCCATCTTTGCACTTTGCTTTTGCAGATGTGAGCACCTAAGGGACAGGTGGATGGATTCCCAAGTTACCTTTTGCCTCCTTGTAGGGTAGCCGGGAGTCTCTAGTGAGAGAGGGTAGATCCATGGTCTACCCTACCCTAGCCCGTTAGCTCCAGCTTTGGGCTCCTTGCCACCAAAGGATGGCAAGAAAAAAAAAAATACACACACACACACAGTAATGCTGCTGAATTTTTGCAGGAGCAGGAGAGACATGAAAGTTAGGGACTTTTATCTTTTCCATGTTCTTGTAAACCCTCAGCACACAGAACAGGCTTGGCACACAGAGGTACTTGATAAGCATTTGACAAGTGCATGAACAAATGAGCACACACAGTGCACAGGTGTTCAAAAGCCGTTCTAAGGGACCCTAACCACACGTACAGGATTCCAAACCAGCACAGAAGCACCTCTTTACTGGCAGATTGTTTCTCTCCCTCTGTCTTTCTCTCTCTCTCTCTCTCTCTCTCTCTCTCTCTCTCAAGGAGAATAAGGGCTTGAGGCTGGGCATGGTGGCGTGCTTCAGCCTAGGCTTATATAACAAGACCTTGTCTCAAAAAAAAAAAAAAAAACCTAGGGATGGAGCTCAGTGGGTAGAACGCTTGTTTAGCATGCATAAGGCTCTAGGTTGAGTCCCCAGCTCTACCGTAAAACAAGAAAGAACGTGTCAGGGTTTTGCTGTGTTGCCCATGCTAATCTTGAACTTCTAGGCTCACTCAAGCCTCCTGCCTCAGCCTCCTGAGCAATGACTACAGGCTCACACCACTACACCCAGCCTCCTTAATGGGTTAGAACTACCTATATATTGTCATATCGTGTGGCTTGGGCAGAGTAGTTCTTCTTTGATCCTCAGCTTTCTTACTGGTCAGAGAACAATTCCCAGGATTGTTGTGAGGAGTAAACAGAAGCACATGAGAGCCTTTCCAAGTGGCACTGCAGAGTAGGAGGCGTGGCATTGGCAGACTGAGCAGTTCGACTTAAAAGTTGGATATGTATATTCTTGAAATTCTTGGGAACACAAATTATGTCTTCCTTTGCAGAAAGTAGCTGGGAGGGTACGACTACAGGGACTCACTCAGTTACTTGTCAGCTATTAACTAAGCAGGTCCTTTATGTTAGACCCAGTATTGCAGGCTAAATAAGACCAGCGCAATGCCAGCCATCGGGGCAGGGCAGCAACTGGGCAGTGCAGCAAGGGGGCAGGGGCACACGATGTACTGAAGCTGAGGGTGAGGAATGCTGCTCTGAAGACATAGGAGTGGAGCTGAGGGTGAGGAACGCTGCTCTGAAGACATAGGAGTGGACAGTGTAGGCAGAACACTAAGGTTGGGGTCTCTGGGACACAGTGTACACCTCTCTCTGGGTTGTAGCTACACTGACAATAGTAATTGTAGTGGTTTCCTATGTAAGTTTTGCACATTTCACTCTAGAAAAAGTGAAGGATAAAATCTGATGATGGGCCAAAAATATAAGACCTAAATGAAAGGAACCACGTAAAGTTGTGAAGATGGAAGAGTATTACAAAGTCGTTTGTTAAGCATGTTATTTTTGGAATTGGTCACAACTATTTTAAAGCTTACATATAAGTATGTCTGATGATAACCAAAAAAAACTTCTAGAAAATAGAATGTTAGGGGAGACTTTCATTAACAGATATTAAAAGTTAATAAAAAGTAATTGTAACCAAACTTGCCTTTAGCGTGCAAAGAGACAGACAGACAAGAGCATAAGTAGAGTCCTGCAGTAGAGATAAGTGAGTACGAGATCCTGACATGGACTAGGAGAGGACTTCTCTAGCGAACGATGCTGCTATAGCTAGACTGCCATAATCACATCACCTGCAAAATGAATTCCTATTGGGCTAAAGATCTAAACCTTAAGCAATACAGTGTAAAGCTATCAGGAAAAACAATAGGGAAAAACACAGCTAACCTTGAGATGAGATGTTTCTTAATAAAGATGTGAGGGAAGAAGTGGTGCATCCAAGAATGTTTGAATGGCCAAGATAAAAATCAGAGGCAAATGTTTACAGAAGGAAAATAAGGTGCTCATATGGAAAGAGTTGGGATCCTGGTGACAAACAAGTGCTGTCAGCTCCCAGGGAAGAAATGAAGTCAGAGAGAAGAAAGGGAAAGGGGAAAAATGGCCTAGAGCAAGGAAACGAAGTCACAGTTAGGCACTTGTTTTCACTCATCAAATGGGCACGTTGAAGCAGCACCTGTACTGCTTTGAGAGCGTGGAGCAACAGGTACCCGTACAGTGCTGCATGGGCCACACGTGGACTGCTGTGAGCCTGGGAGAGAGGGACCAGCAGTGGTTATTGGAAGTAAGCACACCCTCTTCCCTGGCAGATTGAGGGAGTGTATCCTGTAGAAGCACCAGTTAGTACAGATTTGCTTTCGAGAGCAGTGTCATGGCAAGCAAAAAAAGTTAAAAACACAAGTTTCAATAATCATCAGTGAAGGAATACTGAGACTTGTTGAAACTATTCTAAGAAAGGGGGTCGGGGGCCGGGGGCCAGGCACCCGTGGCTCATGCATATAATCGTAGCTACTCAGGAGGCAGAGATCAGGAGACAAGATGAAGAGGCTCTCGGTTCAAAGCCAGCCTGGGCAAATAGTTCTAGAGACCCCATTTTGAAAATATCACAAAAAAAGGGCTGGTGGAGTGGCTCAAGTTGTAGGCCCTGAGTTCAACCCTAGTACCGCAAAAAAACGAAAAAGAAAGGTGCTGGGGGTCGGGGGGAATGATGGAACAGGTGAATCTAACTAAGATACATTGTTTTGTTTTATTTTTCTTAGCAGCAGTAAGAGGTTCAAACTCAGGGCCTCTCTTGCTAGGCAGGTGCTCTACCACTTGAACCATTCCACCAGCCCTAAGATACGTTATAAGCACTTTTGTTAGTGTCACAATGTACCCCCAGTACAACAATCTAATAAAAATTTTAAAGTAATTACCAATGAGGAGTGAATAAATAATTATGGAGTGTTTATCCATTATGGAATTATGGAAATGCAGTTCTCAAAGCGTGTGTTCAGTGCAGACTTACTTACCAATAATACATAAATAAGATAAAATTAGATTCTGAACAAAATGTTTATAATATTTTCATTGAAGAATTAGTTACAGACTTTTATCTACACATGAAGGGTGAGTGGTTCTTGTAGGCAATTATAGTAGTTGCAACAAGTTGTTTTGTATTTAAGTATAGAGGGTTTTTTATTTTTTTGTCATTCTGGAGATTGAACCCAGAGCCTTGCACGTGGTAGGCCAAGTGATATACCATTTGAGCCATGCCACCAGCTGTTCTGTTTGCATTTTGTTTTTGAGATAGGGTCTCATTAACTTTGCCTGGACTAGCCACAAACTCATGCTCTTCCTGCCCCTGCCTCCTGAGTACCTGGGATTACATGTGCGTGCTGGCATGTGTCTAAGTATGGAGTTCTACACTTAACTCTACCAGATACAAGCTGGATTTCTTTTGGGAGTCCTAGACTTGACAGTTTTACAGAGGTGATGGAGATACCATCCATTCATCACATCCCTTCACCTGATGTGGCCAGCTCCCCACAGTGACCAAGCTTCTTGCAAGTAAGCACACTCTGTTTGTTTGACCTGTGCTGTTTTCTCTTTCAGACGCGGAACTGGTGCTTTCAAATCCAGAGTAGGACTGCCTGCGCCTGCTCCTGTTATCAATAGCAAATATGGACTCAGAGAAACTGATAAACGCTTAAATAGGCTTAAAAAGTTAGGTGATAGCAGCAAAAATTCAGACAGTCAATCTGTCAGCTCTAACACTGATGCAGACACCACTCAGGAAAAAAACAATGCAAGTAAGTAAGGGAGATTTGATAAGATACATCTTTTAAGAGTTTTTTCATACAGCTGTCTTTGTGAAGCATGCTTCGGTAGCTTTGAACTCCTAACTACTGAGAGAAGCTGGAGCTCAAGCTTCAGCAGCCCTCAGGGTTCTAAAATGCTTTGAGTACACAGAAGTTCCTGTCCGCTCCAAAGTCAGCACCATCATCTATGCTGCTTTTCTCTCTTTCTTTTTTGAGTATTTGGTAGCTGGACACTGAATTCTTCATCATAAGTTCCAGGATCTTCCTGTGTTTGAGGAGAACATTTTCGAGCTGTTAGGCCCCACAAGACGACAGGGGACTGGGTGGGATTGTCAGGCTCCTACATGTCCAGTGTCCTACCATTCTGTTAGGAACGGTGATGGATGTGGGTTCATAGCTTCCAGCCTCAAAATTTCTACCTTTTTACTACTCACTTAACCTTTTTCAGAGTGAACTGACCCAGTTCACCAAACCACCAGTTGCTAGGCTCAGAATTGTGCTAGAGGAACGTTTGGATGTGGCTGTGCTAAAGCATGTATTGTTAACTGCTACAGAAAGTAGCAAGAGAGCTGCAAAAGAGAAAGAAACATGCTTTGAGGTGTCAGTTGTGTGTGGGGTAAGAGCTGATGGAAACTGGAAAAAGAGAATAAAGAATAAGCAAGAGAAAAAGAAGAGAAGAAAGCCTGAATGGACAAAGGACAGCACGTGATGTTTCCGGAGCTGTGAAGTGCTGGGGTCTCAGACTACTGCTGGTCATCTGGTGACCAGGTTCTCTAGGTGCCACTGCAGCTGCAGGCTCTTGTCCCTGAGGACAGTTGTGAGAAAGGTCTGACTGGCAGGCCCAGAGTCTGCCCGTATTGGCACTCTAAAATCTAGGGAGATTTCTGAGCGTGTAGGAGCCCCCGAGGACCTGGTTCTTATAGGCTCTCCCTGCCTTCTGATGTTTTCAGCCCAGTTCCAGATGTTCCCTCCCTTACAGAAAATCCTGAGGAAAGGGGAAAGTGTCTCCATGATGGTGAATATCCCTGCGTGAATTCCTGGAGCTGCTTAGTCAGAAGCCAGGTGTGACCTCTAGTATAAAAGTGAAGTATAGCTTAGTCACACTTTTTAGCTAATGTGCAAAGTGAACACAGGGAGTTAGTCATTCACTGTGGACTGTTGCTCTAATAAATGAATGCAGTGTAATGAACGTTTGCTTTCCTAGTCTAGTTCCTTGGTGAAACTGGAGACTTGTGAAGCCCATGTTATAAATGCTTACAAACACAGAAAGAGCCACAGAGCTGGCTCTGTGATGTCCGGAGCAGTGTTTCTGTGCATTTGCTTTATCACTAGCATAGAGATCCTGAATTTAGTACACCACTTAACTGAAAAGATAACATGCAGGTCATTTTCATAAGGTTTCTTGTGTACTAATATGTAGGCTTCTAGGAAATATTTATGACTTAGCCAAGTATTTGGTAAAAAGTCTGCAGTTCTTAGAGAAGTAAGACGCATGAGATTTGGGCCCCTCCCTTGGGAGCCGATGCCTTAACTCCCAGGCAAGGGCACAAGTCACTGTGCAGAGCAGACTAGACTGCCATTTCTCCAGGTTAGTGGGAGAGATTCCCTCTGCGCTGTAACCTCAAGCATTGTAGACTAGAAATACACCACTTTCTAGCCCTGCTTCGATTGGGATGCTTGCTTTATTCAAAATGCCTTTCTGATTGTTGTTGTTTGGGGTGGTCCAGGGGTGGCTGTGACTAACTTTGAGGTCACAGCAGTTAATAGGCATGGGTCAGAGCTCTGCAGGAACCGAGACTTTAGCCTTCTCTCAAACCATTGTACATTAAGTTGTGTTCACATAAGATTCCCTCCAGCTCTTACATGTATTTTTTTTTCTTTTTTTTTTTTTTTTTGGTGTTTGTGTCTCAACCACACCATTTAAAAAGGCAGACCATTTTAAAACTCAGGCTGGAGGAAAAACTACAGCAAGCACCAGAGCTGTTTTCCCAGGGGAGACAGGCATGCATAGTGCACATGCGGACAGACTGCTGTCCCTCCCTGGCTGCTCAGTCCTCATCCTGTACTTCATTTAGGCCTTAGCAGCTGAAATAATGACAGCTGTCTTTGAACAGCATGTATAAAGAACCATTTCTGCCTAGCCAGGAGAAAAATATTTCTTGCTCCATTGCGGGCCTTTTTAGAAGATCTCATGGTCTCCAACTTTACTTTCTGCTGTAGCATCCAGGAGTAGAGACAACAAGAAATCCACTTTCACTGTTTCATTCCCTGAGTGCGAATTACAGTACTGTTATTGGAAGATTCGAGGTCTTCAGGTGCCTACTGTATGGGCTGCTTCCTGTAGTCGGTGCTAAAGATGTGTGCAGTCCCTGCCAGTGTCAGGAATCAGCACAGGACCCAGCAAGTTGGCCAGTGGAGCCAGTTTATCTTGACCAAAGAGCCTGGACATGGGCCTGGGCTGCTCCTGCTCCTTTTCCTTCTTGATGGCATTGCCACCTCTGATTGTTCTGCACTCCTGCTAAGCCTGCTGGCTGCCTTCTTCCAGGTAGCCTTTGCCAATCTGTGTCAGTCACATCAGCTGAAGCTTCTTGTGCCCAGCATACCAGAGACTGAGATCCTTAAAGTCCTGTTGGGGGTCATCTGGACTCTCCAGTTCTAGAGATGCTAGCATATGTGGAGCCCTTGTACGGTCTTGGTTTGTGTGGGTGGTGGGCATTTCTGTGCACCCTGTGTGCTCAGGGAGACTTGTGACTTTTTGTAGTTCTTGCTCTGGCTGTAAGTCCGGTGCCACACTACCTTACAGGGTTGTGTGTGTATGTGTGTACTGGGGTTTGAACTCAGCCTCATGCTTGCTAGGCAGGCACTCTACCACTTGAGCCATCTGACAGTCCCTTTTTTGTGTTGGGTTTTTTCAAAATAACGTCTTGCAAGCTATTTGCCTGGGGCTGGCCTCAAACCATGATCCCCCTGATCTTTGCCTCCAGAGTAGCTAAGTTACAGGTGTGAGCTACCAGCACCTGGCTGCCTATAGTTTTGATGGCACCATTAAGTGTCTGTGGTAGCCATGCAGTAGCTCCTTTACCTGTGAGTTGAAAATGACTATAAAAATTGAGGCAGCACTATGAACTGTTCAAGAAGTCAGGATCTGGAGCCACGGACCTAAATTCAAATCCCATCTTAGCCGCTCAGCAGATGGGTGGTCGTGGGCAGCCGGGTCTGTGGGAACTTGGTTTTCACACCGTATGGTGGTTCACATTTCCAGCTCACTCTAACATGTCTGTTGTGGACAGCGCCTAGCAGGTGGTAGTTGCTAAGAACGTCACCTCCACCTAAGCTCACTGTCCAGGTTTATGCACTCGGGATTTGTCCAGGCCCCAAGAGAAAGATAATCACATAGGATAAATAGTGCCGAAGCTTGGGTGACTACACATACATCCTGCTTCCACTGATGTCAGAATCCTTGGTCTCTCATACTTTTTAAAGTGATTGACTTCTAGTTTGTCACTGTGGCCCAACTTCCTCCGTTAGCCTTACTATCCTGAAATCCCCAACCCTCACCAGGATGTCTCGCAGCATTTTGTGCCATGAAGGACTCCTGGCATGCTAGTGGACTCTCACCACATTCCCACATTCTTCTCGTCTGGCTTGTCTGTGGCTTTGGTCTTTGACTTGTTGGGATGAGCTTTTCAAGCAAATTGAGAATGCCTTGATGATAATTCAAACGTGCGTGTCGAGCCTGTTGAAGGACTTCGTGGCATCAAGTACCGTCCATTTGGGGCTTGTCTTAGAAGATATTACTTTGTCGGAGACTGGCACAGCTGCCTACAAGGAATCTTCTGGAAGGAAGGATAGGCTGGGAATAGCCCAGATTTAGAATCTCCTTAAAATGGGACTTATCTAATGGATTAAAGTAACTACCAGGTAAGGAGAGGCATGGATGTGATCATACTGCACAGGAAGGGCACCCAAAGTTCCAAAAGAGAATCATGAAAGGCTCCTAAGGGAGGTGTTGTCTGGAATGAGGCTCCAGGCAGCACTTTGAAGCTTTTGCAGAGCAGAGGGACGTTGGTATACGTGCTTGCACCAAGGGAAGACCAGAAAGGGTTAAGCCCAAAAGTGACAAGTGATGGTAGGAAAATCATTCTGGCTACATGGAGGAGATGGATGGATTGTCGGGGAAGCAACAGGACAGACAGGTAAAGTGCCATGTTAAGGCAGATTATACCATTTGGGACAGAAGCAGACAGGTTCCAGGGATATTGCAGAGTGGACTCCACAAAGTGGGTGTTGACTGGATGAGTCAGGGAAGGTATGGACAGGTGGTGAGTCAGATGGAGAAGCTACTGGATATTTGATACACTCTGTTGTAGACAGTGACTCTGGAGCTTAGGAGAAGCCTCAGTGGGCATCTGGTGATCAGGATCTGTGATTCTGGGAGAGGTGGGCCAGTGAAAGAGGTGAGGGAAGTACCAGCACACAGGTGGTATTGGCCATGGACTGCAAGTGGGTGCCTGTCATCTGGATAGTGTTGAGAGTCTCCAAGGGGCCCTGGATGACAGAAGCTTGAAGAATACCAGTGTTAGGCAGCTGGAGGAGTGGCAGGAAGGAAGAAAAACCAGGAGTGTGCTCTTTGACAGCCCAGGGAAGAAAATGATTATCAGAGTCCCGCTTAGGGAAATGAAGTGCTCACAGATTTCATGGCAGGAAGGCCGTCTCACTGCGGGGGCTGGGTCCTGACTGCAGAGGGGAATATGTGTGTGTGCTCATGGTGCAGGGCTGGCAGAAGCAGGAAGAAGAAGCATAAAAGGTCCAGAGCCGCTAAGCTTCATCATTGATAGTGTCTTGAGAAGGTACACTATGAGCAAGTCCCTCATAGCCACATGTGAGAAAGCCAAGCAAACGGTAGTCACACAGCAGATGCAGTGCCGCCATGGTTCTGCCTGGAACTGATGAGAACACTGATGTGTGTTCATATTGGCAACATATCTACTCGTCACCCTTGTAGGCAGGCCTGAGTAGAGCATTCTCTTTACTAATGATTTCCCCAGGTAATCGTATATTTTAAAGAATAACCTCTGACAAGCAGTTTTTTTTTTTTTTTTTTTTTTATTCATATGTGTATACGAGGCTTGGGTCATTTCTCCCCCCCTGCCCCCACCCCCCCCTTACCACCCACTCCGCCCCCTCCCTCTCCCCCCCACCCCCTCAATACCCAGCAGAAACTATTTTGCCCTTATTTCTAATTTTGTTGTAGAGAGAGTATAAGATACCACATTTTCTTAATCCATTCGTCAGTGGTGGGGCATCTTGGCTGTTTCCATAACTTGGCTATTGTGAATAGTGCCGCAATAAACATAGGTGTGCAGGTGCCTCTGGAGTAACCTGTGTCGCAGTCTTTTGGGTATATCCCCAAGAGTGGGATTGCTGGATCAAATGGTAGATCGATGTCCAGCTTTTTAAGTAGCCTCCAAATTTTTTTCCAGAGTGGTTGTACTAGTTTACATTCCCACCAACAGTATAAGAGGGTTCCTTTTTCCCTGCATCCTCGCCAACACCTGTTGTTGGTGGTGTTAGCAAGCAGTTCTGTATAATTCCAGTTCACAATAAGTCATTCGTCCTCAAATTGAGTGCTTTACTACTACTGCTGCATTCTAGAAATAAGCTGCTTCCTTGAAAGCGGCCCACACAGATGAGGGTGGATTGCATTGCTAGGAACTCTGCTTGTTTGGATCACCTGCAACCATTCATGAGCCAGTTTCTGAGTACAGAACCTTCTGTTGCTGAGGGTTGGATCGTTTTGGAGTGTTGTCTCGCATCCTTGCTCCTCCCTCTCAATAAGGACTTAGGAAAGCTTTCTTGCTTTGCCATGCAGAAGGACCGGGAGTGCCCCAGCCTCATTAGAGTCGTGGGTCTGTTTTGTATTCCCTCGTCTCGGAAGGAAGAATGTTTGGGTCCTCCCATCATCTCGAAGTTTGCTTGTTGGCGTCAGGTGGTCAGCTGAAGGGACAAGGCGCATGTAGATTGTTGGTGCACTTTCTGACGTTGACAGCTCACTGCCGTCTCTTGCTGGTCCTCAGAGTTGCAAAGGGCTAAACAGCAGTTGTAATACTGTACGGTCTTTTTTGGTAAACATCTATTGGATGAGACAGTGTTGTTCTTAGAATCTGGTTTTTCTTGTGTCACATCCATCTTGATAGATTTATGTTCTAGAGCCCAGCGGTAATAAATTTCTCTTCCATAGTACTGGCCAAGTGATGTCCTTACTTTGGGTAAATGTGTAATAGACCTTAGAAGCATATTTAAAATTAGGTTTTAAGAATTTGTGAAAGTTTGAGGCCAGCCTGAGCTACATACTGAGACCCTGTCTCAAAGAGAAGCTAGGGGAAGAAGACATGGAAGAAAGCAAGCTATGATTTTTAGTTACTTTCCTTCAGCTCTTTTGAGAAATACTAAGTCAGGAGAAGAGCTATGGCATCCTGACAGATAAGGGAGAAGCCTGGAGTGGAGTTTTGAGGGCTCAGGGCCTGCTGTGCTGAGGGTTCATGAACCATAAAATATTTACCGTAAGCACAGGGCAATGCACGGTCATGCCACAGAGAACCTAGACGCAGCGTAGGGAAGGCGGACGTGCTGGCAGGCTGCAGTGGTTGGGGGCATCATTTTGTTCGACATTGGGTTACCAAGCTGTTTCTCATCTATTTTTTTTTCCCTCAACCTTACAGCTTCTAAGCGAAAATCTTCTGTTGGTGTAAAGAAGAGCAAGAGCAGGACATTGAGCAGGCAGTCCGTGTCGAGAGTCCCTGCTGCCCCCAACGCTACCTCACCTAAGCTAACTCACATGAACAACTCCAGGGTACCAAAGCAACTGAGAAAGCCGGCGAAGCCTTTACTCTCAAAGATCAAACTGCGGAATCACTGCAGGCGGCTGGAGTCGAAGAGTGCTTCAAGGAAACTCGAGATGGGAAACTTAGTCCTTAAAGAGCCCAAAGTAGTCCTGTACAAGAATTTGCCCATCAAGAGAGAGAAGGAGCCAGAGGGATCAGCCCAGGCTGCAGTGGCGAGTGGGTGCTTGACCAGACACGCGGCACGAGAACACAGGCAGAACCCTGGGCGAGGTGCTCATTCGCAGGGCGAGGGCGGGGGCGAGGGCCAGGGCGAGTCCTGCACCTACATAACCAGGCGCTCAGTGAGGACGAGGACGGGCACGGGTGCGGGCACGAGCCCGAGCCTGAAGGAGGCCTCAGACATCAAGCTTGAACCAAATGCGGTGGACGGCTGCAAAGGCAGCGGGAGGGACCCTTGCCCAGACAGTGGCGAGCAGCCTGCTGCTGAGTCACAGGAAGAGCTGGCCCACGAGACTGCACAGAATGGGGGGGCACACTGTCCTAAGAGCGTCCCCAGCATCGCCAAAAAGAAGTCACGACAAGCAAAACTTGTGAAACAGTTTGCAAAAATCACGGAGTCCCCTGGAGAAGACGGGGCACTGCCAGATTTGATGGAGTCCCATCCCGACCAGGGCGAGTCCAGCAGCATAGCCAGGGTGCCTCTGAGCTACGCAGACTGCGCTCCTTCACCTGTCGGTTGTTCCATTGTTACGTCAGATGGCTTCAAAGCAAAAGACGGCTTTAGAACTGCAAAAGGTAAAAAGAAAAGGCGGACCACGAGGTACGATGCACAGTTAATCCTAGAGAATAACTCCGGGATTCCCAAATTGACTCTTCGCAGGCGTCACGACAGCAGCAGCAAGACAAACGACCAAGAGAATGATGGCATGAATTCTTCAAAAATAAGCATCAAGTTAAGTAAAGACCACGAGAGTGATAATAACCTCTATGTAGCAAAGCTCAACAATGGCTTTAGTTCAGGATCAGGCAGCAGTTCTACAAAACTGAAAATCCAGCTGAAGCGGGAGGAGGAGGGCCGGGGCTCCTATGCAGAGGGGCTTCATGAGAACGGGCTGTGCTGCAGCGACCCCCTCTCCCTCCTGGAGTCTCAGATGGACGTGGATGACTACAGTCAGTACGAGGGAGAAAGTACAGAGGACCCCTCCTCTTCGGAGGGGGACGGGGAGGGGGATGGGGGGGATGACTATGACGACGACTTCGAAGACGACTTTATTCCCCTTCCTCCAGCCAAGCGACTGAGGCTGATAGTGGGCAAAGACTCTATAGATATTGACATTTCTTCACGGAGGAGAGAGGATCAGTCTTTGAGGCTTAATGCATAAGCTCTTGCTCCCAACTTGGCCTGGGATAACTACGTAAATAAAATCCAGTCAGCTATTCCTCAACTGAACCTTTTTAGTGGCAGCACTTCTGTCGTCTCTTCACTTATCAGCATAATATTGTAGAAAGTGTACAGCGTACTGACTCTTCTTAAGTCTGATTTGTGCAGATTTTTATCGTACTTTTTAAAATAGCCTTCTTATGTGCAATTCTGAGTTGAGAGGTAAAGCCCTGTTGTAAAACAAAGGCTCCAGGAAAATTGTACAGAGATAGCAACCTTCCACACAGGACGCTGAGACAGTGATGTGGCTACGCGATTTTTTAACTTGAGAGCATCAGCTGGCTCTTTCGTAGGTGACTAGACAGTTATTTAAGCTAATCATAGCAGCAGCATACTAAGGTTGCGAGTATACCTAATATCACCAGCAGTGACCTTTGGCTTTTGGGTTTATTTGCTAGATGTCTCCCCCTGGAGTTTTGTCAGCTTCCCACTGTTTGCTGGCCCAGATGTACTGCTCGTGGCCTTCCTAACATAGCAGACCATTGCTTGGGAGTCAGATTGGTTTCTTTAAAAAAAAGAAAGAAAACACAAGTACATGGTGACCGCTCACTCTCAGTACGTCACATGTGCGAGGGTGGCAGTGCAGGACGAGCTTCCAAACAGCGTATTTATTGCTTGTCATGTAAATTACAGACCTTGTATTTAACACTTTTCAATCCTTTTAGATAAAATTGTTCTTTGCAAGGATGATTGGTGCTTATTTTTCAAACTTTGCTGTGAACAATGTGACGACAACAAGTGACATTACCTAATGAACTGCAGCTGTCTTCATTTGGTTCTCGAGTTTTCTGTTGCACTTGTAAAATGCTACAAGGAATATTAAAAGTCTATTCACTTTAACTTATAATAGTTTATGAAATAAAAACACAAGTCACAGCTTTTGTTCTGTGGTAACCTATAAAAAACGTTTGTCTTTGGAATTCCATGTAAAGACTGAAAACAGTGTATATGTTGTAAATATTTGTGTGTTGTGAGAAATTTTTGTCATAAGAAATTAAAAGAACTTACCAGGAAGGTTTTTAAGTTTAGAAATATTCATGCCAATAAAATAGGAAATTATAACTATATAGTTTTAAGCACTGCGTCAGTGGGAGTTATTGGCTTATGTTAGTTTATTATGAAAATATCAAAGATTGTTTGATTATATTATCAGTTAAACAAAAAGAGGAGTCAGATTTAATTTGTTTTTTTGAAGCACTTTGAAAAATTAATTTTAAGTAACTTAATGAGCAAATTTTTGGTTACTACTTTGTGTTCAATACCAGTCTCGTTTGTTTCTCTGGGTTATTTTACAAATCAAAGACCTTGGGAACGGCGGTCTGGAGCAGGGGTTTAACCCCAGTGGGTCTCTCTTTCCGGGAAATGTGTACATGGTCTTCAGATAGACAGTGCTCCTGAGCGAAATCCACTTAGGGGTCCATACAGCGTCCATAGAAAAGTAGCCCGCGTCTTGAAATATGAAAAGTAATCTTCAGGTAAGGGTCCCGTGGAGGGAGCTCAGTGGTTAGCTCTTGTCACTAGCCGATGCCTTCCGCCTTGTTGGGGGACATCATTTCAACTTAGTTCCTTCAAGCTGTTGCCAGTACGGTAGGTTCCAAGTAGAAGCTCAGAAGATTCCTGAAAGCTTGTAAGATTCCTCTTGCCTTCCTCCTCACATCCTGTAGCTCTGGGTCGTGCCAGCCTCGTTCCTGGTGCAGTCTGACCCTCAGGTATTAAGCAGGTGGGCGACTCCTCCCCACCACACCCGCTGGTCTCAGGAGCTCCTGTCCCAGGCCACCTGGGGCACTTTACAGACTCGTCCAGTCCTCATGCACCTCTGGGAGGATGAAGGCAGACTGTCTGGAGTGTGCCCGGGGCAGTGAGTCGCCTCTCGTGCCCCCTTTCGCCTGGGCTGTTTTGAAGAGGCTCGGTGACTAAACCTTAACTGTGTCTCTGAATCCCAACAATAGCCATTTCAGGAATTTCAATCTTAAGGAAAAAAAATAACATGTTTCCCATTTTCTTCACTTTTAAGCTTAATGTTAGTAACTTATTTATGAAGTTTGTTTTGATTTTGTTGTGGCCTCGCCTTTTGAGGCTGACCTTCCCTTGGGTCTCGAGCAGTGACATCTGGTGACAGTCGCTGCCTCTCAGGAGTGGGGATGCACAAGCACTCAGCAGCTGCTGATGCCTTCTAGGGACCCCTATTTCCGTTTCTAGAAGGGGCCTTGGACTGTTCTCGATCTGCTGTAGACCTTCAGTGTGAGGTGACCAGTCTCGACGAGGTTGCAGTCAATAAAACTTCACTTGAGCTTATGCAATGATTGGTAAAGTTTTGGCATTGTAGAATTAGGAAGTGAGCATAGAAATATATGTAAAGAATTCAATTTTCAATCATTTTTCAAATTGCTGTTTTAAATTGTTTTGCCGAGTTGTAATACTTTTGAGATACAATGTATTCCTTGTACTGAAAGATTGCAAAAGGACTTTTTCAGCATTTGAGGTAAGTTCTTTAACGTTTCATTAAAAACATTTTTTACAAATATTTTGTACATGCACTTGCAGTATTGAGGTTAATCATTTTAATAAATTCGGAAATTAAAACAATGTGGTCGGTGTTCACTGTATGGAGAAGAAAGGATCAAAGCAGAGACTTTATCCCGGAGGCACGCATGTGAACCAGGACATTTCTCAAGCTTTCGGGCAGCCTTGAGTGTTGAGTTCTCTGCACCCGGCTCAGTCCTGCCTGTGCCCCTCTGAGAGCAGTGCACCCCCTTCCCTGGGGAGGCCTCCTGGCCCGAGACCTCAGAGCTCAGAGTGACCGTTGCAACCTAGCACCACGTGGTTGCGGATTATTTGTTTTTCCCCCAGCATGCTGGACAGGGTCACATATCCACAACTGTCACGGGTCTGTTTTTCTCCTATTCACTGTTGCAGCACCCATTTGGAATAGGGATGCAGGAGAAGTCAGGAACCCTGAGTTTGCCCAAACAGCATCACCTGTGCAGCTCTATGGTCTGAAGGTGTGTGCACTGGTCTTTTCATCACTAAAGGTTCAGGATGAGCTACATCCACTCCTGAGGGGACATTCAGGGTGAGGCGCTGACCCTGACCCGATTCACCGTGTCCTGGGCTCCCAGGCTGGGAAAGGCGCAGACATGGCACACCTGTTAAGGACCCAGGCGTCTGAATCAGTGGTTCAGGTGTTCTCCAGCTGCCATGGCACCCAGCTTGCCACACACTGCCTAAAATTTGTGTGTGACTTGTTTCTCAAACCCCAACTTTAGTCATAACCTGCACCCTGTTGTATAAACTACGCAAAACCTGGTGGTACTCAGAGCGAGCCTCCAAGCAAGAAACTTCCATCCTCAAGGGCACTTCGGGGGCTCCCGGGGTGAGGCAAGTGTGTCCATAGCGTGTGCAAGAGAGGCTCCAGCTTCCTGCTTCCTCCTCCGTCCTCTGTGTCCTGGAACACTTGGGAGTGTTTGTGTTTGCCAGCGGTGGAGACCAGAAGACAAGGGGGTTAGATTTTTCAGGAAGAGAGCAGGGTGTGGCAAGGGGCAAAGGTGGAAGTAGCCAGGACTGGGAAAGGAATCTGCCACTAGCACCGCCCTACCCCTCTTCCTGCCTCTTGCCATTCCCTCCGTCCCAGGGCATTAAGCTTAAGAGTTCGGAAGCAGCTGGAAAGCTGCTGATCTGAGGACAGAAGGCAGACTGGCATTCAGAGATGCCTTTGATCACGTTCTGAACCGCCTCTTGTTACCAGATCTGCCCTGTGTTTTCCTGCTAGGCGGTGCTAGACAGCAGTGTCTTCCCCTGGGGGCAGGCGGTCCTCTTGACTGCGCTGCCGAGGAGAAGCAGTGCTGTGCTGGTCTGCTCAGGTGTCCCAGAGGGGTCAGACTTGGGCAACTAAGCCCAGCGTGGAGTCACGCTTTTCCAGTGTGCACTGAGCACCTGTTAGGTGTCTGGGGTCCAGGAGGCAGAACTTGAATTAAAGCTACCTAGGGAAGGAGGGCTGAGGCGTGGGTGGCAGCAGGGAATGCTGGGCCAAAGCCAAGGCCATGGCCGCTGGTCCTCTGTGGAGAAGAGGAAGTCTGTGGAGGAGGGACCAGAATAAGCTGGGAGAGGGGTGGTTAAGTTCATTAAGGAAAAGCAAAGTCAGTGCTCACGCCTGTAATCCCAGCTACTCAGCAGGCAGAGATCAGGAGGCTCATGATTCGAAGCCAGCCTGGGCAAATAGTTTTCGAGACCCTGCCTTGAAAAAACCCATCACAAAAAAGGGCTGGTGGAGTGGCTCAAGGTATAGGCTCTGAGTTCAAAACCCAGTACTGAAAAAAAAAAAAGAACAAAACTTACCCTGGCACTTCCCGGGGTTCGTGTGTTCCTGAGAAGGGAAGTGAGGAGTTATTCAGAGTTGGGGTGTAGGGATTTTTGTAAAGAGCCGTTTTCCTGGCTTACAGATAAAAGAGAGGCCTGTACCTTTGTATCCTTCCAGGATGGCACAGGCTGCAGCCTCCCCCAGGACTGCAAAGAAGAAAAGAGGTTTAAATGTGCCTGAGGGTCACACCCTGTCTGTAAATAGGTGGTAAGTTCATTGGCAGGTGAGACCAGGACCCTGAGGTTTGTGGAACATGAGGGAGAAGTGCCAGGAAAGCAAGGTGATTATAGAAACCCAGCACAGCTCACTAAAGGACCGTTTATCTGTCACCTTCAAGTGCCACTCAGTGTCCCAAGAGTGCTCAGGATGGCAGCAGGGCTTCTCTGCCCAGATGTGAACCTTTCAGACCAAGCTGCGGCTGCAGGAGGTGAGGGACAGGGGCACATAGTTCAGTTCTGCAGGGGTTGAACGAAGAATCCAATGTGCACGCAGGTTAGGAAAGAGGAGACGAGACTGGGCCACTTACCCGAAGGCACAGGCGTGAGGCCGGGGGGGCTCTCTACAGTCAGAGAACCCACCAAACAAAATACCAGGGGGCGAATGGGGAGGGCAGGAATAGAGCGGGTTCTGGAACTTGGCGGGTGGGGACTGCATTTTCTGATGATGACAAGGCTCCTCATGGAGCCTGGGGGAGATTATCTCTGGCAGTGAAAGAGCAGGACATCGGTGTGATGCGGACATAGGTGGCCTTCACTGAGGGCTTCCTGGGCACTCGCAGATAGTGCCAGGCAAGGACCAGGGACAGAGCAAACTAGCCCCATGGAAAGCCAGTCAAACTGAGACTATGGGGGACAAGTGAGAGGAGATGCCCTGCTGGGGTGGTGGGTGCCTCTGTCAGTGTGTTCCTAAGGAACAAGGGCATGACAGCCTGCCTGAAGCCACAAAGCAAGTGGTGAGAGCCACAGCCAAACATTCTGGGACTCGAGGTCCCGGCTCAGTGTAGAACCACACCTGACTGTACCTCAGCAGTCCTGGAAGTCTCTGTCTCCTGAGAATTCCCTTGGGTGACACATACAACTCACAGCTTTTTACCCAGTCTCAATGAATTAATGGGGCCAAGGGAATTCGTCCAAAGGTCACGGTGCAGATAAGCAAGGTGACTTACATCCATTAGTCAAACATACTCGGGAGCCCACAAAGTGGGAAGGGTGCCGCTAGCAGCTCTCACGTGCTTTTATGGGAGGCCATAGTCTGTGTTGCCCTGGAAAGGGGTGGGCACCTCTTTATCTGCAAGCCCTTGGGACACCAGCAGCCCAGGGACAACAGACAAGTCCAAGGTTTCCTACAGCTAGCCAGCTGCTGGGATAACTGTTGGAATAGAAGGTTTCTGGTGTTAGCCTCGAAAATGTAACTGTCACCCTTGGGGACCCCCACTTCCTGTCATGCACAGACTTTGGAAGCTGTGACTGCACGAGTGGGAAGCAGGGTTCTATTTGTGAAAGCTGACTTAACTCTCAGAAGCACACCCGTTGAGCGAGGGGACGCCTTACCCGAAATGATACGTGTTTGCTATTCTGACAGTTTTGAGCGTGTCACACCAGCTGCAGGTGGGGCTGGGAGCGTGACAATGAGTGGAAGTGACGATGGGAATCTCCGGGACCTTGAACTTGAGTTTTCTGGCAGTCTCTGGTGGATGGAGGAGACTCCTCTCCAGGGCGACCCTCCTGTATTTGAAACAACTGCTTCTGCGTGCTCCTCTTCCAGTCCAGACACATCTTCTTTCTGGGCTAGGAGGTGAGCAGAAGGACTGAGTCCTGCCAGCCTCCAGGTGGACCAGAGCTGACCCAGAAATGGCTCAGCCTGGGGTCAAGGCCAGCTGCAACTGAACACATGGGTCCCACACTGCGTTGGCCTTCTGCTGCCCGGTCCTCACTGCCTGGGTGTGAGCACAGCCTGTCTTCCTCTG